AGTGCTGTGAGATTCTGTGTGCGTAAACCCAGCTAAGCGTGGTGTAGTGGTTAAAGCGTCGGAGACTCGAGTTCAAATCCCCACTCGGCCATGGAAGCTTGCTGGGTGACCTTAGCACAGGTGCAGGCACTCTTAGTCTCACCTACCGCGCAGGGAGGTAGTAAGGATGAAACGGAGCAGAAGAGAAGGATGTAAGCAGTGTTGGGGCCCCACTGGGGGAGAAAGGTGGGGTAGAAATGGAAGTAAACGAATAAATTTTTATCCTCTCAAGCACTATACAAACACCGTTATTAGCAGCTGAACTCTTGCGCAGCTTATCTTGTTTTGCGTTCATAATCTCGGCCTTCTAAATAATCACTGTCTTCTAATAGCTCAGTTCTTGCCGGACGTCATTTGGGCATCTCTGTGAACTGACAGAAGAATGGATCTCCAGCAAAGAGCCCCGGTTTCATCCCCCTTTAAAGACAGGCGTTTAGGTTAATTTAACTTTTGTTGTTGTTCAGTCGCACAGTCGAGTCCGATTCTTCGCGACCCCATGGACCAGATCCCGCCAGGCCTTCCAGTCTTCCGCCGTCCTCTGAAGTTTGCTCAACTTCATGTTCGTTGCATCGATGACACTGTCTAACCATCTCATCCTTTGCCGTCCCCGTCTTCTTTGACCTTCAATCTTTCCCAGCATCAGGGTCTTCTCCAGTGAGTGCTCCCTTCTCATTAGGTGGCCACAGAATTTGAGCTTCAGTTTCATTATCTGGCCTTCCAGGGAACAGTCAGGGTTGATTTCTTTTAGGATTGACTGATTTGATAATTTAATTAGCTGTAATTTAAATGCCCCCTCAAAAATTTAAATGCCCCCCCCGAACAAAAGAATCCTGGCCAAGGGCCTGGGGGGGGGAGGCAGCCACTTAGAAAGAGCAATGCTTTTGGGGGGATCCCCACGGAGAAGAAAATAGGGGTGTGACTAAATCAACCGGACCCTGGTTTACATTTATGACGGGGAGGGATCCACCCTTCAGGTTTTCTGTTTACAAATTCCAGGAGGGATCCGGAATCCGAGGCGATCTTGCCTCAGCATCACTTTGCCGCTGGAGGAAAGAAGCCGGTCTCCAAATTAGCACGGCAATTAGGTCAGGTCACGTTGGGTGGAGCTGCAAATTCGTCGGCGAGTAAACAGAGTTGGCGTGGACCCGAGTTCAAAAACTGCACCTCTTGATTAATTCTGAGTATCCTCTTTTGATATGCAAAAAACCCGCCTGGTTCGCCTAAGGCATTTACTGGAAAGCCTTTGTTGGCTGGTGGTTCCCAGCTTGGGGGGGGGGAGAGGAGTGCTTTCGGCTCACTTGGTTGTAGGTGAAACGTTCGTCCTCCTTTGCGAAGTTCCTAAATGTTCTCTTTCACGGTGAGAGAGAACATTTAGAAACTTCCCAAAGGTGCTGTTTTGGAGAATGGAGATTAAGTAGGGTTTTAAGACACAGGGAGGGGGGGAAAACAAACCTGACCCAAAAACTGGAATCGAGAACCGCAAGGGTAAGGAAGAAGTCTGATAAAGGGCCAGTATTAAAAACCTGGTTGAAACTTATAATATACAGAAATACATGTATTTATTAAAAAGACAGTTAAAAGCATATAAGGGCCCAACGAGAGCCTCGTTTCAAAGTTCAAGCGGCCTAAAGACAAGGGCCAATACGTAGTTGTGAGCGAGTGATTTGGCTACTGCATCAGTAAGTTTGCTCTGGAGCCCTCCCTTCCCGAGCGAAGACAAAAAACGTGTGAGCCGGAGGCTACAGAACTGTGAGCTAGCTCACGCTGACTCAGCTTAGAGGGAACGCTGGTTGCCAGCTCCGGGTTGGGAAATTTGGGGAGCGGCGCCTGAGGAAGGCGAGGTTTGGGGAGGGGCCTCAGCTGGATACAGTGCAAGGTAGCCAGATCCCCCTTGTCCAATTGCAGGGGAGGGTGGCCAGACCCAGGTTGGGAAACTGCTGGAGATTTGGGGGTGGAGCCTGCGGAGGACAGGAACCTCTGCTGGGTACGATGCCATAGAGTCCACCTTCCAAAGCATCCGTTTCCTCCAGGGGAGCTGATCTCTGTAGTCTGGAGATGAGCCGTAATTCCAGGGGATCTCCGGGTCCCGCCTGGAGGCTGGGAACCCTTTGGTAAAGGTAAAGGATCCCTTGCTCAAAAGCCAGTCGAATCCGACTCTAGGGTTGCCGTGCTCATCTCCGTTTCCAAGCCGAAGAGCCAGCGCTGTCCGAAGACGTTTCCGTGGTCATGTGGCCGGCATGACTAGACACCAAGGCGCACGGGACGCTGTTCCCTTCCCACCGAAGTGGTCCCTATTTATCTACTCGCAATTTCTTGCTTTCAAACTGCTAGGTTGGCAGGAGCTGGGGCCAGAGACGGGAGCTCACTCCGTCATGCGGCACACTCAGGTCTCGAACTGCTGAACTACCAACCTTCCACAGCCTGCAATTCAGTGTCTTAACCACTTGAGCCACCGCAGCTCCTTAACCCTTTGGTACTGCCTGCCTTTTGCGGGGGGGGGGAGTTTTTCCACCCCATGTATTCATTTACGATTTCGAAGGGCAGCTGTTTTAGTCTGCAGTAGAAGAGCTAGATTCAAGTTGAGGGACACCCTGGAAACCAACAAGATTTTTCCAGGGCACAAGCCCTTTTTGGGAGTCCCTGTCTGGAGACGGGAGCTCTGACTCAAAAGCTCGTACCCCGAAAATCTTGCTGGTTTCCAAGGTCCTCCTGGGCTTGGGTCTAGCTATTTATTTTTACTTAGGCAAAGGTTTCCCTTGCTCGAAAGCCAGTCGAATCTGACTCCAGGGGGCGGTGCTCATCTCTTTTTCCAAGCCGAAGAGCCAGCGCCGTCCGAAGACGTTTCCGTGGTCATGTGGCTGGCGTGACTAGATGCCGAGGTGCACTTTGCTTTATCTGTCTTCTTTGCTTTATCTTCTCTCCCGCCTTTCACCACAGGGGGGACCCAAAAGCGGCTTACGTCATTCTCCTCCCCTCCGTTTTATCATCACAACAACCCTGCAGAGTAGGTTAAGCCGAGGCTGTGTGATAG